AAAAAACGAAGTCCAGATGACATGATTCAACCTTTTTTGTTGTTATATACCTGGATGACTGAGAAAACAAACTTTGTGTTTTTGAAACCATTAGTGAAAAGGCCAGACTTCAGGGGTATCTGAGGCAGGCTTGAAACACAAGAGTCAGGGTGGCTTCTGGGTAATACCAGATGGCTAGGCCTCAGACTGACGAAGCCTCTTGGATGAGGGGCGAAACGTTTCTTTTTAACATAAAAAACGAAGTCCAGATGACATGATTCAACCTTTTTTGTTGTTATATACCTGGATGACTGAGAAAACAAACTTTGTGTAGTTTGTAGTACCTTTTTTCGACCACCGGATGGCAGTATAAGACTATTTGAACCATAGGATGGAGCGAGCAGCGTGTCTCTAAGAAAAATGGGAGGGACACCCCTTGACGCAACATGGACAGTCTCTCTTCGGTTCTCAAAATGGCGGATGCTCGGAGTGGTTTGAGCTAGCATTTTTCATACAAAACAATAAAAAATCTGTAAACAAGTTCTCAGCTTCTTTTTTGTAGAGAAATTTTAGACGAAGGCACGAGTTTCAACCATGAACTTTGGAGCTTCGACAAGACGGAGGTTTTTTTCCGAGGTTGGCCTGTTAGCTTAGCTCGTAGCTTAGCTTCTCAGCTTAGCTGTTTTTAATGATCCAAAAATGCAATTTTACAGTTAAAATGGATTTTAAAGAGAAAAGAGAAAGGGAGGGGTCAGTGAAGAGCACCAGAGTTGAGCCTTTTGTCATCCGGCATCTTCAGTAGAAAGAGATACGAAGAAACGATAAAGCCGATAAATGAAAACGAGCTCGATAATTTTCATTTATCATGCGATTAACTGATTTATCGTTTATTGTGACAGGCCTAGATTACAGTCACATTCAGTTCAATATGTCAGCTGAGTTAATCACCTACAAATTCTAATTTGTAAGGTCAAATCACTGTTTGTTTGTGATCCATTACAGCACCTGCAGCATGCGATCACTTTAAACCCTCCGAGTCTGAAGTCTTACCAGCAGACCCCTGAGCCTGAATCGACCCTCCTCGTCAGTGACCGTGTCCTCGCTGTAGAGGCTGCAGTCTCCCTGACCCACGGCCTCCACAGCCACGTCCCTCTCTGCATCACCGCTCAGGGACTGCACTGCTCCGTAGCAGCTGGGCACAGCAGCACAAAAATGCACATAAACAACAGACGTCATGTGTTCGGCCTGTTTTATATCATATGCTGACGAAAAAAAGAAGAAGTTTTTCTACTGTGTGTCTGTTAGCAAAATAGCTCACAAAGCGCTGGATAAAATTTTATATTTATAGAAAGTAGTCATTATGGACATCAACAACTGATTAACGTTTCAAGTCAACTCAATTCCAGATGGTTGCCACAACCAACTGACTACCTTCCATTCTTAACATCCATCCATCATCTTTACCCACTTCTTCCTTTTTGGGTCACGAGGGTCTCTACTGCCCATGTCCAGCTACCACTGTGCAAGAGGCTGGGTACACCCATGAAGGGTCTCCAGTCAATCACAGGGACACATAGAGACAAACGAGACAAATGACCATTCTCTCTCACTCACATTTATGATCTTAAGTTCAAACTCTGGCATAGAAGGTGGCAGACGATACGCACTTCTTCAATGGGCCTTTAATTCAGAAAGAGATGCGTGTGCTTACCTGTATGCCGTCTTAATGCCCGTTATGTTGATGCTTAGGCTCTGACCCTCCTCCACTGTAATCATTTGAGACGCAGGTTCGAAGCGGAACTCTTTCATCATTGGTTTGAAGTAGTACTGACCGGGACTCTGAGGGAAAACGCCACGGTTACTTAAGACGAGACGCAGAAGAAGTAAACCCTTTGTGGGCTGCTTTCTCACCAGGTTATTGAAGGTGAGCACGCCGGTGTCCTGTGTCAAAAGGTTGGACCGAAAATGTCCCCCGCTCAGAGACAGGAGGACGCCAGACAGAGGCTGTCCATCCTCCGATATGATCTACAGCAAAAGAGGAACATTTGAACGTTTTAAACCGTTTTTCCCAGAAAATCTGAAAACTTACACAAACGTAGGCCACTGAGCTCTAAAACTGGTCTGGCAGGAGAAGCCAGAGTCACATGTACATCCTTATTTCAGTAAGGATGTGCATGTGAAGGATAAACAAAGGCAGAAAAAGACGAGGAACAAACTTCAAAGCGATTCATCACTCCGTCTGAAAGACAGACTAATACTAATTTGTGTAAGGTTTTCATGGTCGCAGGAGGTGATGGTGCAGCCTTTTAACGAAGGCAGCACAAAGGCCAACAGCCCACAGCAAAACACAAAACAGCTTGAGCCATCCACGAGTTCTTTTAATTACACTTTGCAAAAACATTCAGAGGGGAAAAAGGCGGCTAACACGAGCTTTTCATCACGCCATTTCATATTCACTTTAAACCATCACGATCAGAAGAGATGAAAACTGAGCAGTGCAACGTATAAAAGAGGCTGGCAATTAGTGAAATGTAATGTTGAATGAACACGTGTGAAGACGACGGTCACGTGTACCTTGAAGGTGACACCGGCCAGAGCAAACGCCTTGAAGTCTCCTGGGGTTCCCTCCACCGGACTCAGGACGAAACCCTCCTTACTGGCAGAGATGTCATACAGCCGGTCGCTGTGGAGCGGACCCACACTGAGACAGAGGGGAGAGCGAAGAAAATGAGAAGACATGAGAGGAGATGCATGCAGGGCTGTAATTACCTCCTAATGTTAAAGCCACAGAAAACGGAAGATGGAAACAGCTGGGTTAACTTTACGAAAGAACCTTTAAAAAGTAGGTGCAACACCACTGGAGAGACCGGTCTAATTACAGAATAACAGTATTGCACACGGCCCATTATACGCCCGTCAACAATTATACAGCACTGTATAGCAGTGGTCCTGACAAGCAATAGACTTGGTAGATCATTTGACCTTGATTTGTGACCTTTGACCTTGGCGCTGGGGTGATGAACAGTGTACGTGACACTGCGTCTAGTGATTTTCATTTTCATTTACCCTTTATTTATCCAGGTAGTCTCATTGAGCCATGAGAACTCATTTTCAAGAGAGACTTGTTTAGGGAGCAGATGGTGGGGGTTAAGGGCCTTGCTCAGGGGCCCAGAGTGGGGCGAATGAGGGTGGAGGGAGGTGTGGGTGTTTCACCTTTTCCACCCACAATTTGATGTTGATGGTACCGGGAGGTGAACCTGCGACTTTCCGATCACAAACCCATCTTCTAACCACTGCGCCACCACTCTCAGTGATGATGCGTTTGTGTATCAAGTTTCATTAAATTATCAAAGTCCATGCTCAATAATCCAGGTACAAATCCAACAATGTTCAATCAGGTCACCTGGATGGTTTGTTTTTTTGAAGAGACGTTGCGCCCTTCATCCAAATGACTTCTTCAGTCCGAGGAGCCACAGACAAACTGGAGTCCCACAAGCACCAACTCCCATAGTAGAATAAAACAGTTAGCTGGTGTTAAAATGGTTCCCCCCCCCCCCCCCCCCTGTCAACTCCTCTAAGGCTTTGGTGTTTTGAACCATTTTGGTATGGCTGCCTTAGAGGAGCTGATGGGGGAGAGGGCGGACCCCAGAAACCATCTTAACACAAGCAAACTGTTTTTTTCCACTATGGCAGGTGGTGCTTGTGGGACTCCAGTTTGTCTGTGGCTCCACGGACTGAAGAAGTCTTTTGGATGAAGGACGAAACGTCTCAGCAAAAAAAAAGAAAAAAAAGAAAGAAACCGTCCAGGTGACCTGACTGAACGTTGTTGAATCCAAGTAAAAATTCCAACAAAGTTCAGTCAGGTCCTCTGGACGGTTTCTTTTGTTGAAACGTTTTGTCTTTCATCCAAGGGACTTCATCAGTCTGAGGAACCACAACAAACTCGGTCCTATAAGTAGCACACTCACATAGTGGGCCAACCAGTTTGATGGGGATAAGATGTTTCTGGAGTCCACCCTCTCCCCCGTCGACTCGTCTGAGGCAGCCATGGCCGTATTTGGATTGGGATGGATTATTGAGCATAGACTTTGATGTTTTGAACCACTTTGCGCCCTTCATGTTCCAACAACAGACGGTCACAAACAAAACCTTTTTTAACTTCATAACGGCAGCTTTGTCCAGATGCTTCTAAAAGCCATTTAAAAAAAAGCTTCTGTCAGACATCTGGATGGATTTTAAAAATGTATTTATTGACCTTTACATAACTGGGCAAATCCCATATATAACTGGGCAAATCCCATATATAACTGGGCAAATCGCATTGAGATCACAGATCTTTTCTGCGAGGGAGGCCTAGGAAGGCAACCTAACATGCATGTTTTTGGACTGTGAGAGGAAACCGGAGTACCTGGAGAAAACCCATGCAGCACAGACAGAACAAGCAAACTCTACACCGAAAGACCCCAGGTTCAACCGGGGATTGAACCCAGGACCTTCTTGCTGTGAGGCAACAGTACTAACCACTGAGTATTCATGCTGCCATTTTTGGAATTTTCTTATCAGAATTTAAAAATAAAAAGTGCTATGTGTTGTCATCATTGTATGTTCCCATAACAATGACAAAATTAGTTCTCTGCATTTAACCCATCACATGAGAGATGCACCCAGGTGGAGCAGTGGGCGGCCATGTGGGTGCCCGGGGAGCAATTAGGGATTAGGTGTTTTGCTCAAGGACACGACATGCGGGCATGATGGGGAGTTGGGCCTGTGACTTCCTGGTTTCAGGTCGACTGCCCTACCTCTACACCATCTCTCCACCCAATTAGCAGATTCCAATTAAGTGCATTAGTTTTCTGGCACAAACACAACTTTTAAATACAGTCAGCGTATTCTTAGTTGAACAGCAGTACGTTGTAAATGGGGCTTAATTTGTAAACTGATCGATGCCAAAACACATATAGCAGGCAGGCCGGCAGGGGAGGTTGGGGGGCTGGGGTCTGAGGGTCCTCTCTCTGAAAAATTTGAATAAAGTAGATGTGATTTCCTGCATTTTGGTGTATTTTAACGAGTTGTTAAATATCTATGTTTTCCTACATTTGTGAACATTGTTGTTCGACTCCACATGTGAAACGGGGGAGAGGGCGAGCCCCAGAAACCATCTTAACACCAGCTGACTGTTTTTTTCCACTATGGGACTTGGTGCCAGCTCAGCACTTCAACATTTTTAGGGGCGGAGATTTCTTTAAGGGTAGACGTGGAAATGCTTCACTTGAAGAAGCAAATCGTGGCCGTTGTGTTTAAAATTAGTGTTTATGTAATTATTTTCAGTTACAAATCCAGGATAAGTTCTTTTTGTTCACAGCAGTCATATTTGTTCATAACTTTATTATTCGTAAGTCTGAGTATTAACGGATCCAAGCCGGATCCTAGTAAACAGTTACAGGAAGCATCCTATCAAAATAAGGGAGTTCCAGGATTCTGTTCCAGCAGGATCCAGCTCAAATTAAGCACTGGCTGTAAAGTTATGCTTGAAGTTCAGTGAATTCTGACTGATTCACTCGAAGAAGATATTTCAGAGAGTAAGACCTTTTGGAAGCTCAAGGACGAGTAAATCCTTCATATGAAGAGGCTGTGTGTATTTTTATTCTCTCTCTCGTTATGATAAGATGATGTATCAGTCATTCTGCTCCAGTAAAAGAAAAGCTCAACAAAATCATTTAGAGTCAAATATCGCCATAATGTTCATGTTTATGATGACACAAAGTGAACTGATTGGCCTATTAGTATTATGTTCTCCTATTCAGAGAAGACAAGAAGTCATTCTTGTACATCCTATATCTGATGACAACAATTATAATAAGTTGACACCATCAGAGCCGCACACACCAAGTCATAACACCCGTCTATGACCATGAGTTTCACAGCAAAACCTGAAGGCATCATTGTTCAGTCTCAAATATCCTCCATGTAACGAGTGTGCTTCCTATTTTCCAGTCTGGGTTTTCATACCTGTAGGCTCCCATCTCATTAGTGGCCACAGTAATGAGCGGTGCTGCAGCTCCTCTCTCTGTGATGGATATTTCCACACCTTGGAGCTCTGGAGACACCTTGCCCTCTAAGAAGAGACCTGCACGCCCGATAATGTCCACCAGCCGACCTGGACACGATTCTGTCAGAAAGAGAGTGGGTTGTATCTGGGTCTGAATGTTCTATTTCAGAATAAAAAATTTTTTTTCCTGCAGCAGACAGTGAAAAACAATCAAATGCATAAGGCACCAGGCTAAAGCTTGGACATACCCACTAATACTTTACAATGTGAGATGGATCCTACCTCCTGTGATAGTTGCCTCCACTTCCGGGGGGTAAAACAGCAGTTCCTTAGAGGAAGGAGTAACTGTGATCTTCTCACCAGCCCTGAAAGTTACACCAGAAAATTTACCTCCCTTCACGATAAGTAGGATTCACAAGGTACACAATGTCCCCTGTCGCTAAGGGTTCTGAATAATTAATTTTTGCAATTTTCAAAAATGTTTTTCTGGACCCGAACTGAACAGGGAATGCAAGTAAACCTTAATGTTTTTGTGCAACATATTCAAGCACCAGTATATAAGTAGAGAGGTAGGTGTTTTTTTTGTTGTGTCCTAGGTGGAGCATAAACACAGATCCTAGCAAGTGGAGGGAGTAATTTTATCCACCACCATGTGCAATGGTGGAGCCAGTGGGTGGTCATCAGTGGTCTTGGCTACCATAGCATAAACTTTGGACACCCCAATCGCTTGTGCAAACTATACTTTTAAGCAATACAAAAAAAAAAAAAAACCTACATAGATTAGTCACAAAAAAGTTTAAATCGTCATGTAGACCAGTTTCTTTTTGGGAGGTGTGTTTCGTCTTTCATTCGAAAGACTTCATCAATCTGAGGTCTGCCACCCAGATCTGTCTTATAAATAGTACCTCCTTGATGTGTTTCAAGTCAGCCCTCCCAGAAACTGGCTTTACACATGCAAAAAGGGACCATCCGTCCAAAACATCGATCATCGTGTATAGCAATCAAAATGTTTTAAGCCAGATGGCCAACTTGTTACTCACAGAAACAGCCTGAGGACAACCTGGCCAAAACGGTTCAGAAAAAGGTTTGAAAGCTCAATCATCCAGGTAGATAAATCACAAAAAACCAGTTAAATCCAACCGCAGAGCTTTAGGCGTGTCAGCAAATGACCAATCCGAAGCTAAATGAGTCGTAATATTATTCAAGCTCAAACACGATAAAACAGGGTTTACTGCATTTTAACTGTGGTAAAATGAAGAATATTGAGCATCTTGTTAAGTTATACTTTGGTATTGGTTTTACAAATAAAGAGATAGTTAATCTGTTAGCACATCAACATCAGATTATTATCAGGACTTTGAACCTGCTTACAGTAAGGTGGTACGCTCTGATGGGCTGCAGCGCAGCTCTGCAGGTAAAGAGCATTTAGCTTCAGATTGGTCATTTGCTGACACGCCTACTGGATTGATTGACAGGTCGCATTGTGGATCCGACTCGTGGAAAAAATTAATTAAAGAGAGCTGCAAAAAAAAAAAAATGTCTTGTACGACTTTATTTTCGTAAATTACAACTTTATTCTCGCAATTTTATGGCTTTTAATTTTTTTTTTTCTTAGCAAGGCAACGTAATTTTTTTTTTCTTAGCGCGGCCCTAAAGCTCCGTCGTAAAATCCTGTCATGCATTGTGTAAAACCAGTTTGTGGAAGTTCCACAGAGGCTTGAAACACATAAAGGAGGTGCTATTTATAAGACGGATCTGGGTTGGCAGGCCTCACGAAGTCTTTCGGATGAAAGAGGAAACGTTTCTCCCAAAAAGAAACTGTCCAGATGACATGATTTAACCCTTTATTTTGATTTATCTACCTAGCTTACAAATCTTTTCAGATAGATTAGATTTGACTGAGATGGCTGTTTTTATATACAGTATTTATATAATGGCCATCTTGGATATTGACGTGGCAACCCAATTTTCTAAATGAACCTTACTTACGCCTAGATGCAGCCACACATCAACATGGAAGTCTGTCCCTGCCTTGTTTTTCAAGTTATGCTCCCCATATGGACAGAGGGAGGGTGTTTCCAATTCCCATATTTGCTCTGCAAAAGGGGACACAAATAAATCTCCAGATCTCTCTGAGCTGGTGTTTTTATTAGATTTCAAAAATCCAAGTGTTGTGAAATTACAAGTCACATTCATCTCTATTTATGCACTGTCAAGTAAATGAGAACTTTGAAAACTGTTAAAACATTGGGAGCACAGCTAGCAATAGATTTATACTAACTATGCATGCTGCTATTGGATCACTTTTAAAATTAATTTGATTTCTCACAATCTTCTCAAGACTCCCTCTCCTGTTTTTTATAGCCCCTAGTGTGTATATACCATATATATTATGGACCTTCTGTATTTGTTGGGAAATGAAGCCAGCAGGACCTGCTTCATGGGAGCTGCATGTTGTATTTTTGGAAACAGAGGCCGTTTGAAATGTTCATTCCCTCCATCGAGGTCACGATATAGTGGGCTATATAGAGGACAGCCTAGTGTTTTTGTATTTCCAACACTACTTAAATGCAGAATACGTCATACTATACACCGCGTATTCACAGCCAAGTGTTGCATAAATAAATACAAGCAACATACAGCGGAATACACATTTGAATCTGAAGTGATGGACATCATATTTTAAGCTGGCTTTGGCTGAAGATATGTAATAAACGTCATCTGTCTCAATAACATTACCAAAAAATTTATTTACACATATCTTTTACATGTTTTCTTTGTGTTGTATCTTTTTACACAACCACAGACTGCAACTGTAGCTATATAAAACATTCAATGTAATAAATTCATGAATAAATATCAACTACTTTACAGTTCAATTCAGAACACCTGATTTTTGAGTTGTGTGTGAAAATAAAAACAAAGCATACAACATTGTAACGTTTGAAATGCGGCTCAGTTTACATTGTAATTTACATCTTTCATGCTTTGTATTTAGACTTGAATAATTTATTATATACCGTATTTTCTGGCGTATAAGTCGCTGTGGAGTATAAGTCACATTTATTATGCGTCACTGCTGACCCGTCGCATTTATTATGAGTTTATTTAATGGTCAAAACAACTTCATTTAGCCTGAGTGGCGCCATCCATCCATCCATCGCAACCAGAGCCGCTAGCTTTCCAGCGTTTCTCCGCCTGCACCAGCTGTTGCAGTTCTTCGAAATTTAAAGGGTCAGTCAAAAATTGCGTTTTGAATATGGAAAGAAAAAAAAACCTTATACAAGTCGCTTCGGCGTATAAGTCGACGGACTGACAAATCTATGCAAAAATACTGCGACTTATATGCCGGAAAATACGGTAATCGTTAAGTTTTTCAAGATTTCTCAAGCCCCATCACTCAGTTAGATGAGAAGACAAACTACCCTGCATTAAAGACGTCAAGAGGTGTAAAGGTGTTTTTAACATGTTTGAGGGGGAAAAAACCCCAATAATAAACTGCAGAGGTTAGTATTAGCCTGTTAGCCCGCTGTGTCAGATCAGGTCTATTTCCACAGATGTACCATAATTTCCGGACTATAAGCTGCTACTTTTTTCACACATTTTGAACACCGTGCGACTAATTTATGTTTTTTTTTTTAATGGAATAACGAGCTTCATGCAGCCAAAATATTTAGTCTTGTCACACCCGGGCACTAACACAGCTGCTGAATACACATCTCTCTTGTGGGGTGGGTCCTTGTGACTCATTGAGACTACCTGTATAAAGGTTAAAAAAAATATGACCAATGAAATTACCGAACAGGTCACAGTGGGTCAATGAAATGGGGAGGGGTGGAATCCCCCCTCCCCATGAGGAGGGAATCCCCTGCATGCGCAGAGCAATTTTTGCTTCAATGCGGAGCAGGACTGCACAAGCTTGCACAGAAGGAAGATGAAGAGAGCGATCAATGACTTCCTGCTAGGCTACTGTATTTTATTTTTTAACCAGCTGTGTTACAGGCACTGTTGAGAATTTTTATTTACTGTACATATTTGTGTATGTTACCGGTACATATTGGATTATAGACAAGCGCGGCCTAAATATGTACAAAATTAATTTTTTTATATTTTTTTAATTTAGTGGATGTAGCTTATATTCAGGTGCGCTCAATAGTCTGAAAATTACGGTTGTCCTGTACTAAACATACTGAACCACATGACCAGTTTTTATGGTAGATGAAATATTACAGTTAAAACTTCAAACAGCACTTCAAAATGGCTGACTCACTATGAATGAGTGGAGAAGTGTCATCTAAACTTTGCTTTGACCATGAAATAACTCATTACAGCTAAACGTGTTAGAAAAATTTAAATATGATAGGAAGGTACGTGACTCCACAAGGTTTAACTTGTGGGGGAAAAATAAATAAAATTTCTGTTTGCTTCAGAGGCGGGACTTAAAAATAACACTGAAACCACCAGGGACAATTGGTCCCATTCCAGCTTCAACTTCCAGGTTCCAGTTAAAGATCTAGATACAGTTTATAGTCCCAACACAAACTTCTGGAACAACTGAGCTTCATAATTAGACACTTGTAAAATTATCAACATCCAACTTTGCATAACTGCGCTTCAAGTGCAGCTGACGTTGACTTGGGTCAAACAAACAAAATGGAGGTATTCTGTGGTTGAAAACATGTTGGCCTTCTCATAAAGAGAAAATAAAATCTTCCTGTTACAATTTGGAAGAAAACACTCAGCAGAAACCTGCAACGTGCTCCTTTTTTTGTCAGCTCAAATGTTGTGTAACCAACCTGGCCCAGTAGGAGAACTCGTAGTGGAAGGGGCCTGTTAGTTCATCTGCCTTCTCTTGGACAGGAGGACTGTCGTCCTTGGCGCCTCCCTCCTCCTCGGCTGCGCGGCGCTCTCTCTCCTGGCGTCTCAGCTGAATCTCTTGCAGCTGCTGTTCCTGCCTCTGCTCCTCCAGGCTGCGCAGCGGGCCCAGCACCAGCGCTGGCTCGCTCTCGATGGACGATCTGAGCGAGAAGGAAAAACAAAGTAAACAGGAGTGCGTCATACAGCACATTGTGCCCATCAACAAACTATTATACAGCAATGTATAGTAATGGCTCGGCAAGCAAAGACCTTGATTTGTGACTTTGACCTTGAAGCTAGGGTTGTGACAACACTCCGTCTAGTGATGATGCATGTGTGAATGAAGTTCCCTTAAATTATCTTGAGTGGCTCAGAAATTATGGACAGAGAGACAGATGTTCAACAATAATGAGACAAAGCCTGACAACAATTCTACTTCCTAAGAAGACTAAGGAAGTTTGGTACGAACATCAGCATCCTCACAAACTTTTATAGGTGCACCACTGAGAGCCTGCTGACAGGCTGCATCACAGGGTGGTATGGGAACTGCACCAGTCAGAGCCGGAAAACACTACAGAGGGTGGTGCAAACAGCAGAGGACATCACTGGTAGCAGTCTCCACACCATCCAGGACATCTACCACAGCTGATGTCTGCGTAAAGCACGCAGCATCATTAAGGACCACACCCACCCAGCACAAGGACTTTTCTGTCTACTACCCTCAGGCAGACGATACAGGAGCCTGCCATCGTGCACGAAAAGACAGTTATTAAAGACTTATAAAGAATTATAAAGACAGTTATTACCCACAAGCTGTCAGATTACTGAACTCTTGACAATAACGTTGCACTAAGCCAAATCTGTGACAGCTAATATGTTTATTGCTGCTGCACTATGTGGCTGTATAATGTATGTCACCACCATACCATCATAATTAAATTAATCTCAGTGTTACTCATTACCTGTGCAACAACCTGTCACACAAACCCTGTAGTACATTTTATATTGATGGCTGCAGACTCTGGTCAGAGCAGTGTATTGATTTTATTGGATCCGTCATTAGCCTTTGACACAGTCGACCACAAGATTCTGCTACATCGACTGCAAAATGAGTTGGGAAATTCTGGAACGGTTCTTAAATGATTTTCCTCTTATCTGAGCAACAGAACCGTTTTCATGTTTGTGAATAACATACAGTATAAGATCACTCCGTTATTGTATGGCGTTCCTCAGGGTTCAGTCTTAGGTGCTATTCTGTTCCTTTTATACATCAGCCCCCTTGGAAAGATTGTCAATATTTATTCAGACAAGCTTTTAGTTAAGTGTTTTACTTTCTGTTTTTATTAGCTGCTCTTATTGTTTTGTTATATTTTAAGCCTGTATCTGTATTTCTGTAAAGCACTTTGTGATTTTATCTATGAAAAGTGCTATATAAATAAAGTTGACTTATTTAGATGTCAGTTATGTGTATCATGTGCATTTATGTAAGACAGTAGTCCCTTTTTACTTTGTGGTTCGTTTATCGCGGACTCGCTCTTTCACGGTTTTTCAAAATAAGACTGGACATGACACACAATTAGCTGATTGATGGATGAGCCACATGATTGGCATGGAATTTTTATTTAAAATAAATTATTTTAAATTATTTAGCACTTGCTGCACCCTTGTGCAGCCTTTACTGCAGGATAAACTTCCTGCTGCAGCTGATCAGCTGTTCTCCGTGCAGAGCTGAAAAGTGGGCGTGGCCAAGAGCTCTTGCAGGTGGCAAAGAGCAGAGGAGGCAGGGAGCTGAAATCACGACATTCTGTGTTCTTTTAGAGCGTTTAGAAACATTGTTTAGAATATTGCAAGAGTGTGGGAAGGGTTTAAAACACCTTAATATGTTTATATATATATAAATGCTAAAATAAACTACTACCGGTACTTACTAGTTGTAGTACTATTCCTACTTCGCGGTTTTTCACTTATCACAGGTCTTCAGTGTATGGATCCCCTGCGATAAATGAGTGACTACTGTATTACTACCTGTGAAATATTTATACTAATTATTCCCACTTACAATGTTATATTCTACCATTGTTTACTATATACTATTGGACCTTGTAAATATTATATTTCTTTTCACTTTTGTATTTTTAACGCATGCTTTAGTATTTATTGTTTTTTAATGAGTTGAAATGGTTCTTCTCATCCTGAATATTTAATTTCATTGAATTGTTGACCTTGTGTTAACCTGCACATGACAAATAAACAAACTAATAAACTAAAGCATTACTTGATTGTGACGGTGACATCGAGAATCTTGTCTGTGGTGATGAGTCCGGTCATGTGATGCCGCACCGCAGTGAGGGTCAAGATGCTGGGGGCTGAGCTGTCGCACACAGATCAACAAGAGTCACATGATGAGCTGAACAAAACAAAACATTATTTAACGCTGAAATAAACACTTCATTACTTACGTATCGTAGGTGTAGAAGTCCTGCTCAAACTGATGGCAGGAGCGAGGGGTGACTTTGTAAACACCTGGACAAGCCGTTTTTATTTGATTAATTACTTTGTTCCAGTTTTATATTTAGCTAAATCTGACATGGACCTTTTGGTGCAAAACACTGTACACGAGAGAAAAGCTGCTACGCTCGAATATTTTCTCAATATGCTAATTATTAATACTTGTGTTTAGAGGTCAGGTGAATGAAGCTCACCAGGTTTGGAGAGGCAAAACCGATTGATTCCTTTGGAGAGATTGTACACGCCGACGTTCTCGGGTTTGCTGCCATCTTGAAAGAATTCCTGCGCAACATATTCAGAAATCCGTAAACTTTTAGAGTTAAATCTATTCAAGATGGCCGTCACAGCACACTGATCTTAGGAAAAATGGCTCCTTTCAGATGTCGAGGTCAAATTTGTACGACACAAGAAAACGAATCACTGACCAAAGTGATGGCGTGGGAAAGGGAGCAGCGCAGGATGTAGCCGATCTGTCGGAACTCGAGCCCCGAGACGTCCGAGTCCAGAACCTCCATTTCCAAGGACTTGTGTTTCCAACACCACTCCTCGTGAGAAATACCAACTGATGGGAGAAAAAGAGTGAGAGACTAAGAAATAATAGATGCGACGTAAAAGTAAATAACACCAGAGGAAACTCGAGAGTTCTTAAAACGGTATAATCTTTAACAAAAACTTACGAATGCCAAGTTTCACACCAGTCTGAGCTGGCAACACCAAACAAAGACGCCTCGAGGACGTGTGTGCTGACAGCTTGCAGGGAAATGAACAGATTGTGTGAAGTGAACAGAGATATAGATAGACAGAGCACAGAGAGGCACGTGAAGCCTCTCTGCTTCCAGAAAGCTGCTACTATAATCCAGTTATGATCCAAAGGTGTTAATTACAAATTGATTTTCTCCACAATCAATGGAGAATAATTAGTGTGATATTTAAATGAAGGTGCGCGTCAGACTTTTTGGTCAATGCTTGGCTGACTTCAAACTCAAACTGCAAACCTAATCAGGGACTGGAAATGCACGTTAAATTGCAAATAACCTTTATATTTTCCAGGTAAAACGTTGTCGAAAGAGAAGCTGAGGGCGTCGCTGCTGCCGGACAGAGCTACGGTCCTCCTCTCGCCCTGTCGACTCACTGGCTGCAGGGTTACGGACAGGTCGTCACAGGAAGCTGCAAAGAAACAAGCGCAGAGTCAGCTCAGAGAGAAGTTGGAGGGAGAAACATGATGTTGCTCTCCAGAGAAACTAATTTGTTTTATTAAAGACAACAAAGAGTACAGCGATGATTCCTGAGGGATCTGAATAAATGTTTGTAGTTTTCGAGTAGGCCTGTCGCAATAAACAATAAATCAATTAATTGCATGATGAAAATTATCGACTTCGTTTTCATTTATCGGCTTTATCATTACTTTGTGTCTCTCTCTTTCTACTGAAGACACTGGATGACAAAAGGCTCAACTCCGGTGCTTTTCACCGACCCCTCCCTTTCTCTTTTCCCCTTTAAAATCAATTTTAACCGTTCGAAAACACGTTTTTGGATCGTTAAAAGCAGCTAAGTTGAGAAGCTAAGCTACGAGCTAAGCTAACAGGCCGACCTTGGGGAAAAAACCTCCGTCTTGTCGAAGCGCTAAAATTCACGGTTGAAACCTGTGCCTTCGTGTAAAAAGCTGTTTTTCTCTGTTAAAAACAGCTGAGAACTTGCTTACTGATTTTTTATTAAAGTCTTTGTGTGAAAAATGCTATGCTAAAGAGCTCAAATCACACCGAGCATCCACCATTTTGAGAACCGAATAAAAGAAGGAGAGACAGCCCACGTCACGTCAAGGGGCCTCCCTCCCATTTTTCTTAAAGAGACATGATGCTCCCTCCCTCACTATCCATCCTTTGATTCAATCTTATACTGCCATCCGGTGGTCAGCAAAAAAGTATTACATGCAAAACAAATTAACTAAAATTTCTTCTTAAATTTTACAACAATTACTAATTACTGTCAAATTTCAAACAATATTATCGTTTATCGCAATAATTTCTGAGACAATTAATCGCCCAGCAAAATTTGTTATCGTGACAGGCCTATTTTCGAGATGAGTCAGTGTTTCCCCTACCGTTATTCAAGAAGGGCTCCCCGTCCTGTCAAGAGAACCGAGTGCCTGCCTATCAAAACGTTATTCACCCACAACCCCACCACCCGGGCAAAAACTGCCAGCACTAATGTAGCGCTAAGCTAGCGTGCAAAATGTCCGTCCCGCCCGTAGACAAAAATCTCTGAAGAGGTGAGTGCACAACTAAAGCAAGTGACCTTAATTAACACTGCAAGTGTTGTTCTGCACTGGAATTGAATAAGGAAAGCAAGTAAACCTGAATGTTTTTGTCCAAGATATTCACCTGGGTAGGAATTATACTGTATATAAGAACAGAGTTTCTTGGTTTGTCCAAGGCAGTGCAGAGTGACAAATCCTGGTGAGTGGGGGGAGTAATTTTATCCTCCATCAGGTATTTTAATATATTAACAGTAGTCCCTCACTATACTGCAGTTCACTTTTTGCAGACTCACTATATCGTGTGTTTTTTTTAAACCCAATATTGTGTGTGCTGTACATGCTGTGCACTACTGTACATTCATCTCATCATCATCATCTTCAGTGCGATCGCCAAAGTGTTTAAGAGCATATGAAGTGTTTATAAGAGAGTGGGAAAAGTTAATAGGTGTGGAAAGGGTTTATAAAGCCTTAAATATATATACAGCGTTTCCCCTAACTGAACTGTGCGTCAAACCGAACCCACCCCCATCGGTACTGATGTAGCGCTAAGCTAGCTGTACGTAATACAGATGCGTTACCTAAAAAGCTAAAAGACAGCGCTCATCACGCTGAACCCCCTGCAAACACACACACACCAACAACTGTTGGTACAAACAGCGTGCAGCTCAGACGTCCCCCCACCCCACCTCGTCGACAAAAGTCATGGACAAGACGAGAGCTCCGTCAAGGCAAGTTATCTAGGGGAAACAGTGATATAAATAATAAAATAACGCTGCTACTTCACAGATTTCCACCTACCGCGAGGGTCTCTGGAACGTAACCTCCGTGACAGGAGAGGGATCACTGTATATTTTTATTATTAGACCTTTATTTTTACAAGTTAGTTCCCACTGAGCCTCAAAGACTCATTTACATTTATATATTAATATACCTCCCCCATAGATTAATCTTTGGCCACACCACCGGCCGCCCCATTATTTGAGGAAACTCTACTTTTAAGCTATACAAAAGCTAGAAAGCATAGTTTCCTCAAATGATTGGGGTGGCCGGTTTAACTGTATATTCAACCTGTCATGGCGGCCGTCTCCATGATCCTCCATCTGTCTGCACGGACCTGTTTGGCTCCGCGGGGAAAACTTTAGCTGTTCTCTGTCTGCTGGACCCAGTTCTGGACTGTGGTCTGGGAGGGCATCTGCTGCGGTCGTCATTAGTATCAAGCTGCTAACAAGACCATGCCGCTAACCGAACAGAACCACGCTGCTGAAAGAACCTCCTGCTAATTGGATCACACTGTAGACGTATTTCTTTTACAACTTTGGTGCCTTGTTTTTAGTGTTTTAGTAGTATTTTTAGTCTGTTGTAGTATTTTCGCTGCATGCTTTGGTATTTCTTCTTCTTGTTTTTTTTTTGTTTTTTTTTGGTGAGTCGAGACGGTTCTTCTCATCCTAAGCATTTCATTGCATTGTTGACCTTGTGCTGATTTTGCATATGACAAATAAACCAAACCTGAACCAGTGGCCATCTTGAAACAAAATGGAAGTTAGTACCTCTCTTATTTTTCAAGTGATCACACTCTCACCACTGACTGAAAGAAGGTATTTCCAATTCCGCCTCTTTGTTACGCGACAACAAAACATCATAAACAAAGTCTTACCTAGACAGTCAACTTTTCCTGAGACAGAAGCCATGAACTGAGTGAAGAGGAGGTCAGTGAGGGGCCGATCCACAAGGGAGACTTGGAGGGCCTTCGGCTGCAGAGCGAGGCCTGCTTTCACCTCCGCTTCAGGCAGAGATACCTGAACATACAGAGTTCAGACGAGCACAAGATACTGCAAAACAACAAAGCTCCGAAAGACAAACGCTGAAATTAACTTAACTACCAATTTAACCAAAACCTCTTAAGTTTAATCATCCTCAAGTGTTCTCAATCATTTACTTCCCTCTGAGAATAACACACATTATCAGCTCACTTAGATGCTTTTAGTCCCTGTATATTATGAGTAATTCCAGAAAAGCTAAGCTCCACCGCACTCTTACATGAACGCTGTAGTCTCCAGGTTTGGCCTGGAAGCAGAAGGCTCCTTGTGGATCAGAGTCGGCGGTCCGACTGGAAACCTTGTCTTGGCCCCGGTGTGTCAGCGTGACCTTGTAGCGGCCCTGCTGCTTCATGCCCTCGGGCAGGCGGCTGATGGAGATCTGACCGCAAACGCTGAACCTGCGTCGGACAACGAGAGTTTAAAGGTTTGTCGATCATAAAGCGAGTATATGATTAATGATGTCATCGTTTGAAAATCTCTGAGCAGACCCAGCAGTGATGACGTCTGGAAGCTGGGGCGTGTTCGGGGCGATCTTCACTGTGATTGGCTCAAAGAACATGAGCTCCTTGCTTACGCGGATGGTGTAGACGCCTGCTGTCATGTTCTCCAACCGGAAAGAACCATCCTCCCTGCTGACAACTGAGAACAAAATGAAAAGGTAAGTTAGCGATAATAAAATTCTATAAAAACTGCTCATTTACAGTGCGATATCTTTTTTAATGTTTGCAGTAAAAAAAAGAATGGGTGTCCAAAGTGTGGCCCGAGGGCCATTTGCGGCCCTTGGAGTGATTTAGTGCGGCCCACAACTGCAGTTTAAGAATGGCATCATCTTGGCCAGCAGACTTAAGAGGTTGATGAAGACGTTCTGTAAATTAGTTGGTAATCCTTTTTTTATATAATGTTTAGGTTTAACAAGCAAAACAATCTTCTCAAAATGAGCAATATTAAACAAAATACAAACCTTTGGCTAAAATCTTTTTATTTTCACTTCATGGTACAAAGCACCAAAAATCTGATTTCGACCAGAAAGGAAACTTTTGGATAACGATTCATAAAACTTGACTAAATGTTGCAGTTGATAAAGTAATCAAAAGGGAAATTGAACATTTTTAAATTAATAGAACTTGGTATCATCGACATATGAGGTGATCAACTTTTTCAAACCTTCTATGAATCTGTTGTAGCGACTGACAGCTGGATGATTTGTCAGAACTTTGATCAGCCATTTGGGTCAGCCTTTTTACTCATTCGACCTTTATTTATACAGGCTAGTCTCATTGAGCCATGAGGACTCATTTAAAAGAGAGGCCTGTTCCAGACAGAACATACACTGCCTGGCCCCAAAAAAAAGTCACCACCTGGATTTAATTAAGCAAATTGAAAGACGCATCGCGTGGTCGTGGAAAAGATGTCAGTCTGTTTGAGACGGGTCAAATCATTGGTATCAAGCAGAGAAAACATCTAAGGAGATTGAAGAAACTACTAAAATTGGGTTAAGAACTGTCCAATGCATTATTAAAAACTGGAAGATAGTGGGGACCCATAGTTTTCGAGGAAGAAATGTGGCCGGAAAAAAATCCTGAATGATGGTGATCATTGATCACTGAAACGTTTGGTGAAATCAAATGGAAGAAAAACAACAGTAGCACTCAGGGCTATGTGTAATAGTGAAAGTAAGATCATTTCCACATGCACAATGTGAAGGGAATGGGACTGAACAGCTGTGTAGCCTTAAGAAAACCCCTAATCTGTGAGGCTAACTGGGGAAAAAAAGGCTTCAGTTTGCTAGGGAGCATAAAGATTGGACTCTGGAGCAATGGAAGAAGGTCATGTGGTCTGAGGAGTCCAGATTTACCCTGTTCCAGAGTGATGGTGCATCAGAAGAGATGCAGGTGAAGTGATGCACCCATCATGCCTAATGTCTAGTCATCAATGCAAGATCTTGGTGAAAAATTAATGCAACACTGGATGGAAATAGATCTTGTGACATCGCAGCTTATTGAAACAATGACACAGTGAATGCATGATGTAATCAAAGCTAAAGGAGGTCCAACAAAAGATTAGTGTGTGACCTTTTTTATTTTTTTGGTGGCGACTTTTTTTTTTTTGGCCAGGCAGTGTATAAAGTACAGTTTTACAAGTATTTTAAAAAGATACTCAAATTAAGATTTTGTTGCTGAGAACAGATTAAAATGAACTTTTCCAAACACAAGAAAACAACAAACATAGACCCAACAAATCAAATAAACCAAATCATTTTAAATAAAAATTAAAGGCTTAGTGTTTATGAGGCTGTTAATGTTTTGTATCTACAATTTAAAACTTTCTCTGCCAAATTGTCCTTTCTCCAAAATATTGTTCACGTTGAGAGTTAAATTCATATTTTTGTGGCCCACGAGTCCTTTCATCTGGATAGTTTTGGCCCATGTGGAAACATTTGGACACCACTGCTTTATGTGGATGGGTTGATAAGAAAGTAAGTTATTTAAGATGAAGCATCATTTCTTTTTACACAGTTATTAAAGAATAAACAACTTTACTTATCCTGTATTAAGAAAAAATTTCTAAAAGTACAGCAAGAGCTATGAATGACTAGAAAATGATACATGCTGTGAGCATATGAGCACAGCATGTTTAGTTATGCACATCTGCACTGAAATTTAATTTAGACATGTCGATTTACACATCACCTGACCATTAAAGCAAAACACCATGACGGGAAGCTCAGGTAGTTTATCTAAAATGGTCAGAGATGTCGTTTCTGCAGCTCACCTTTGATCTGATTGTTGAGGGACACCGTGGCGTCCGACACCCCCTCCCCATCAGCACTGTTCAGGACCCGACCCATCACAGAGAAGCCCATCACACGGAAGATGGGCTGCACACAGAGCAACAAAAACATGGCCAGTTTGGTTAAACGGAAATGTTTTTCATCATTTTTAAAAGGCTGTGGCATTAACAGAATGAAATGTGACAGAAATGATCAACTCTTCACCTCGAGCTTCAAGCTGTTGTGTTCCACCTTGAAATTCATCCGAGATGGAGCAACGTCGAAGGTGATCCTTTCTCCCCTGTAGAAAGGCACCTGAGGGAGAGCAAAGACAACCAGATGTATAGTATGTGTCGAGCTGCTCTGTAAGCACTGAAAAGGGGGAAATGGAAGAAAAAAAACATGTTTTGTAATTAACCCTTCTGCTGCACTTGGGTCAAAATGACTCACAAGGCCTCAGCTTTAAAAATGAGGCCTTGTGAGTCATTTTGACCCAAGGTCAGATTGAGTGTTGAGCACGTTTGAAAATAAAATGTATTATGTGGGTTGCAGTGACATCTAGTGGCTGGATTAGGAAATGCAGTCAGCTGAAGCCAGAGTCTGCTCTGAGCAGCTGCTGAAGGTGTTGGGAACTTCACGAAGTAAAAAGTAAAAACACAAAGTTTACTTTTATATGATTCTACCCTAACAAACATGTAGCAATTAATAAACTATATTGAATTTCTGTCAAAAGATCACTGTCAATGTTTGAATATTTACGGTAAGCCGTTTGTGGTCTTCATACTGTGTTTAAGGGATAAATAAGTCATTGGAAAAAGCATCTTACATGTTGAGGCTTCACAATAAAAGCATTCAGCTGAGATGATGCCGGGGATTCAGAAGCAAAGACAGAAATTAGATCATAGTGCATTGTTCGTGCAAGTTTAAAGGAACCATTTTTTATGCAAGTCTTCAAGAGTAGACATAATTTTTATTTATTTATTGACTGTAGTGATGGACACTGCAGATGAACAAACAGTGCACTGAAATCCTCCGTCACAGAGATTTTAGTACTGTAGTAAGTATTTGTTTGTAGTTTTTGAGAGAAGTGTTTGTCTGGGCTGGAATTGAACAGGGAATGTAAGTAAACCTTAATGTTTTGGTGAGTGGATATAAGTTACACTGAGGAAAAGAACAGAGGGAGGGTTTGAACTTGTCCAAGGAGGTGCAGAGTGACGGACTCTGGCAAGTGGACGGAGCGATTTTATCCAACACCAGGCACAGCTAGGGGGTGGCTAATGGTGGCCTTTGCCACCATTGGATGATCTCCGGCCACCCCAATCATTTGAGGAAGCTAAACTTTCAGACAATATTAAATACAGAATGTATCGTTTCCACAAATAATTGAGGCTTTAGAAACCCTTCCCACACTGTTGCAATGTTCTTAATGTTTCTAAACTCCAAATGCTCTGAAAGAGCAGCGTGTCATGATCTCTACTTTCTGCCACGCCCACTTCTCCTCTGCAATCACACTCATGCTCATCACCCGTGTCACTCCCAACCTCCCCCCTGCTGCGCCTGAGTGCTGCACTTCTTAAGCGCTCCCCAGTCTCCGTCTCCCTGCCAGATTTGTCTGATCGCCTCGTGCCTGAAGTATCCAACATTCTTGTTCCTGCTCTTGTTCCTAAAGGTTTGGTTCGGGTCACGCTTCATTATTTTAAATAAACAATCCATGCCGCTCATGTGGCTCACTCAGGTATAAGAGACACGCACACACACACACCCCGCTTCCTCCTTTCTTTTTCCGAGGGTGTCTGTTGCACGCCTGCATGTTGTGTGTCTCTGGGACACGATGGGGAAGGACAGACCCCACCTCCTTTCTCTTTCTCTACTGTGACAGACAGCCTCGGAAAGAGAAAGGAGGAGGTGGGGGGGATCTGTCTAATACCTGCCGCACTCAGCCGCTCTCTCTTTTTCCATACAATCTTGCAGTGAAAACCCACAAAATAGTGAGTCCGCGAAAGTCGAACCGCAAAGTATTGAGGGACTACTGTATAGGGTGGTGGCCATCTTGAATTTTGATGTGGTAACCTAATTTTCAATAGTGGCCTTTTTTATGCTTGAATGTAGCCACACACCAAACAAAGTTGTCACACTTTCATTTTGGAAGTTAGCCAGCTTACAAAGTTTACAAATAAACATTTGCGTTGATGGATGGACAAACGGAGAGTTCCAAGCCCCTCCTTCTCTTCACGGCAAACAAAAACCAAACCGGTAAACAATTCCAACAGGTCATTTGCTGTATAATTAAGCATTAAGTGATTTATTTTGCACTCGCACAATAAAGTGTTAAACTTTGTTGTGTGATATTGGCTGTTGCTATAGTAACACAGAGATGCAGTCAATTTAGCCAGAAGGGAAAAAGTTAATGAATGCCAGTTCAGTGAAATCAGAAGTACGGCGGTTCTTCTGAGTTTTGATTAAAAAAAAAAAAACAAAGTTAACAAGAACTTACGACTGCGTACTCGCCGCTGGCAAGCGAGGGAAATGTGAAGATGCCATCGTCTCCAGACAACGTGTTGCACAGGTACACCATGGAGCTGTCCTCATGATCTGCACCTTCCACCGGGGACATGTTACAGCCAGCAATGTCCTAAAGAAATAAACAACTTCACTCACTCGTGTCATCATCAATGTAACGATAAAGAGCTTTCTTCTGTTTTAATCACGTTGATAAGACGAGCACTCTGAGAACTTCAAAACTAATGTCGGTTTACCTCTTTCCTGACTGTGGCTGAATACAGGAGGAAGGTGACCTCCTTCATGGGCTCTCCATCACTGCGCACCTCCCCCGAGACGTTGTAGCCTCCAACCACCAGATGCTCGGTGGCTAGAGCGTTGGCGTTGGACACGTGCACCGAGGTTTTACTCTGTAGGAGGACGGCGAAAGGTCGCTACGTTAAGTTTCAGCATGAATGGAACAATAGGCCTAACAGGAACAATGTGATTAATGTTGGACACCATTAGCTGCAACACTGCGGACCTGACAGGAAACACGATCAGCTCAACACGTGAATAATGAAGTTTTTTACCCTGAAGTCGAACAGAATTTACAAAGTCTGCAGTTGTGAAGCCACCAGCTGGGTGGGAATCTCTGACAGCGTTTCACTTACTAATTGAAGGTTTTTAATTACATTGTCCTAGCCACGGATGCAGTTGATTCTGTGCTGCTTGCCTTTTTGGACCTTACATCTGCTTTTGACGCCATCGACTACGAGATCCTCATTTCTAGGCTGGAGCAGTGGGCGGGCATCACAGGGTCAGCCCTCAAATGCTTTAGATACTACCTCTCTGACACAACCTTTTGTGTCAACATCAAGGACTTTAGTTCAACACTGGCAGCTCTTTGATGGGGAGTACCACAGGGGTCCATCCTCAGTCCCCTTCTGTTTTCTTTATACCTGCTGCCACTAGGTGCCATTTTTCATAAACATGGAATACACGTTCATTTCTACGCCGATGACTGTCAAATTTACTTCCCCTCCGAAGCACACTGGTACACATTCTAGCCAACCTCTTCTTGACTGCTTGGCTGACATCAGGGAATGGATGGCTTTAAATTTCTTAAGTTTTAATGAGAAGAAGACTTATGTCATAAGCGCTCTCTGAGGTCGGCAGATCAGATGCTTCTATTGATTCCAGGAACCCGTCTTAAGCTCAGAGGTGACAAGGCCTTCTCTGTTGCAAGTCTAAGACTGTGGAATGACTTACCACTACATGTCAGAACAGACTCCCACTCTCACTGTTTTTAAGTCTCACTTAAAAACCCACTTTTATTCCCTGACTTTTGACACTGTGTGATTTGGTATTAACCTGTCTGTATTCAACAATGTTAGCCATTTAGTTACAATCTTTTTCCATCCAGATCTATGTATTTTTTTCTGCTCGTTTGTTTCTGCTGTCCAGCACGTTGGTTGGCCTTGTTGCTGTTTTAAGTGCTCTATAAATAAAGTGGTATGGTACTTAGCATGTTAATATCAAAAATAACAAAGATTTTGTGTTTTATATTGAAATTACATCACCTTATTCTTTATGTAACCCTAAATACGTTTCCAAACAACATAATCTTCATTTTTGTTGCTAGGTATGTTTCGATAAAGAAAAATGGAAAGACTTTTTGTTCAAAAAAGCTACTAACTAAAACAAAAACTGCTAAAAGCTCTTATAAGCTTTAAAGCAACATGTTTAAACCTATAATATTACAGAGAAAAGATACATTCACTGATCAAATGTGTACTTTCAGTTTAATAAGACAACAAAATTAACAGGAAACAGAAAGTCCAGCATTCCCGGGGACAAATGTACCGACCTGCTCCAGAGTCCAAGAGGGGTGGGAGGCTGTGATGTCATAAGCTCCAGGCAGAACTTTGAAGAAGGTGTACCTGCGTTAGCGAGAAGATAAACTTTTATTAAATAAAGGCCTGAAGCATTCCTTGAACGAAGGCATATTGCCCACTGCCTTCCAGGCCACGCTTAGCTGCTTTTAACGATCCAAAAAAGCTCATTTGGACGGTTAAAATGGATTTTTAAAGAGAAAAGAGGAAGGGAGGGGTCAGTGAAGAGCACTGGAGTTGAGCCTTTTGTCATCCAGTGTCTTCAGTAGAAAGAGAGACACAAAGACACGATAAAGCCGATAAATGAAAATGAGGTTGATAATTTTCATTTATCGTGCGATTAATTGATTTATTGTTCATCACGACAGGCCTAGTTGAATATTTGTAAAAAGTCATTTATAACCGTTTTTGTGCTTGCTAAGGCAGTTGAGCTATGGCAGCCATTTTGATTCGGGGGTAACTCCTCGTGTTAATGAGTTTTAGAGTAACAGGCAGGGATTACCTTCTGAGAGGTTCACTTGAATCTGTCCAGGCGTTCAAGAGATATTTTGCTAACAGACAGAGGGTGTTGATTAGCAGTAAGATTATAGCACAAAGAGTAGTGTCCAAAAAATGTATTGTTGAGATGTTGCTCAGCTACTATCACATCAAATATTAGCACATATCTGAATAATAAGCTGAGTTTTAGCCATTTATTGCATTTTATAAAGTTGGTTAGCTTTGAATCTTGAACTGGGTTCCAAAATGTATTCAGGTGTGGATTTCCATCCAATAGTGTCCTCCAGAAGATTTATTAAAATCCCTCCAGTGTTTTATATTTTGCTAAAAGACAGAATTGAGTCCAAAATTTAATAAAGTTTTAAAAACAGCTCTTGCACTCAAAGTGTGTGGTGGATGGGTTGGTAGTTACCACCTCACAACACTTTAGGTCATTATTTGTGAAACTGACTAAGATTTTAGACATTCTGATTTTGGCTTAGCTGTGGCAGCCATTTTGAACAGGTCTGACTCCAAAACTGAATCAGTTTGAAACATACATTTCTGAGGGTTTGACGCTAATCTTTACTGTGGTTCGTAGGATATTTTACTAACAGTACAAACAAACATACACAGAGAATAACATTATCACGGGATGGTGATAAACAGTAACCAGTTTAATCTGTCACGTCATCACTTACTTTCCTCCTGGTTGAGTGACGACACTCTGGAGTTTCTCTTGCGATCCCGCCCGGCTCAGTTTGATTTCCACTCCTGCGGGGCCCAGGAGGTGGCCCTTACTCAGAACCTACAAATACACACACAAGGAGGAGAAAACATTAAAACAAACTAAACTTACAGCAACACCGAGCACGCATGAGCAAGGCATTACATGTGGGGAGTAACCGACGCTGAAAACAGTCAGGCTGCGCTCATTTATCATGCTGATGTGGTTAAATGATGTCATTAAAACACTTTACGTTTATGAATCATTTCAAATAAATCGCAATCTCATTGCGCGGTGTTGTTGGGATCTAGAGAAAAAGATAAAACCTGCAGGACAAACAAAAACGTTCCTTTTAGACGGCGAACGCTGTCGAATGACGGCTGAATATAAATCTGTGCATCAATTCACACAAACAACGAGAGGGCGACCTCACTGCACAATCTGGATCCTGCACGCTACGGGTTGAACCGACTAGTTGATTCTAGGACATCTCGGGGGGGTTAATTTCACGTAGACTAGTCGCAGTAATGTGGTTGTGTCACGTCACCGCCCCCGTTTTTTAGTTTTATTTAATTTTATCCGCTAAATAAAATAAAAACAGGGGGACGCGCCACAGCCGGTGGAGAATCCACCACCGCCGCAATAGTTTATTTAATTTAGTGGATTAAATAAAATAAAGCTAACTTTTGCAGCTTAATAATAGTTTTGGTTTTCCTGTGATGTATTTGCAGTATGACAAATGGTAGGAGCAGAAATATACGCTCCGATGTTTTGACGTCACATCAACTTGTTAACGCAAAATCGACTTTTATTTTGTTGAAGTCGACTTAAAAAAAATATGTAGTCGTTCAATCCTATACGCATAAAAATACTTTCAGAAAATAGGCTGCTAGATCAATGTTTTCCCTCTATGAAATGGAAACATGAAAATTTAAAACAGAATGCAGTGAATAAATGTAAGATAAAAACAGAAACTTTGAAATGCTCCAAAGTTTGAACGCTTTTCTGATTTAAAAGCTTGCTGATCTCATGCTGATCTCATGCTGCTGATTTATTTCACGCTGTTGTGCTCATTCGTGCTCACACAGACTCATGTTCGTGCTGCTGTTCAGCGTACTGATTTTGTACTATTCGTGTTGAGCGTATTTCTTAGTTCATATCTTAGATCTTATTAGTTTTTCTTTACAATTTATATTTTTTGTTGGATGTAACTGGGACCCTGTGTGCACACTTTCGTTCCACCACATGTACCACATTTGATAAAAATGACGATAAAGAAACCTTGACTTTGACCTTAAATTTAAAAAGGGAATTTCTCACTGTTCTGGAACTCACACTGGACTGATTTTAACTCCATAAATAAATCAGTACTGGTTAGAATGATGCACATTAATGCAAGCTGATGTGTAAAAGTATACAAATGTGAGTAGCTGATTGCATATTCTCAACTCTAAGTCAGAATATACGCACAGATACTGATCAGCTGAGGATATTTAAACTACTTACACACTGTCTTGGAGAATGTGCACTTAATGGCAAGTAAAGTGAATTATATCAATTCTGATTAGGAGCGATGTGTCTGAGGCTGCAGGAGCTCTTTTATACCTTTCAAGTCTGCTTTCGGATTGTCCGTGTGGCACGAATACTCAACTGCTGGCTGTCAGTTTTCCTCACTAATTTTGATGTGATGTCATCAGCTCACTGGTTGCCAAGCAACGTGGCATAAAACAACAACAACAAAATCGTTACCTATAATTAATTCTCACCGTTCCTGAGACGGAGAATCCCGTAAAGACAAAATTGATGTCTTCTTCTTTGGTGCAGATGTCGCTGACTCCGTCCACATGCAGCTCCACGCTGGTAGGTTCTGGAGACGATCCAAGTGCAAACCGATCAAAAACCACAATCAATAACAACAAATCATGCAAACTCTTTAAAAATCTTTGTGAGCCAAGTCAGAGGTCGTCTTACCAAAACTCCAGCCTAGAGGCGGCTCAATCTTCAACACAAAGTCTCCCTGTGCACAAAATGAATACAATACAATAAAAAGTGCATTTCGATCACCACAAGGAACAATTTATCTCGGTAGTTCTCATATGAGCTGCGTTCATACCTTATCATAGAGGGGGATCATGAAGTACCCATTAATTGGAGCACAGTCTGTTTGATACTTTAATGAACCTTGTTTGGTGTAAAGTTTAATCTGCAAATCAAAGAGGACATACATGCAGTGAAATTTGTTGTGATTATCATAAATATGATATTTGTGAGGCATTGACAGGCAGATTTATGGCAGAAAGATTGAACAAACAAATAAAACAAAATAAAAAAAAACTGCCTAAATGAGTCAATTATGCAACTTAAGTGAAGTGTTTAATCCCCTGCAGGGTTGAATGAGAGGATTAGGAGAAGCCCATAAGGTCCTGCTCATCAACACTGATAGATGTAGGGATTAGGAGGGACTGCCACGTGTAAAACAATCGGTTAGATTAGTTTAATATAAAACTAGTTTGGAAGTTATCAGAAAATTTGATCTGCAGCTAAATATGCTATTTATGCTGTCCAAACTAGATCATGTAAAGCAAAAGTTTACATAAGCAATAAAGTGGTATTTTTTGTTAAAACATGCCGGCCATTTCTTTTAAATAGTTCTTTATTAAAGACAGCTGGGTCTAACCTTTGCTTCGTTACCATAAACTAGCTATTAGTTAGCCGCTAGCTAACCGGGACGAGTCTCACCTCGATCAGAGAGTAGTTGATTTCAACGTCCGATTTCACAAACCCGCCACACGCCACCACAATATCATCCGAGGATACGGTCGAGAGTTGGGAATAGATTACGCAGAATAAAATCCACATAGATCCCAAGTCTGCCCGGATCGTAATTCTCATCATTTTGACTGTCTGTCGAGCGTAGACACTGCACGCTGCCTCCGGTTCCGCACCAGCTGAGCTGCTGTCAGTGAGAAGCTGAAGAATCTCTGAGCGGCGCCCCCTGGCGGCGCGGACGGATACTTACAGCTCCGACTGCCTGGAGCAAATAAAAGTAAAACAAATTAAGAGAGCAAAATAAAACACAAAGTACAAAACTAATGTGTGTGTACATACATATATATATATATATATATATATATACACACACACATTATTCTGCTTCTTACTGTAAATATTTAATGCTGGCCGGCAGCCTGATCAAGAAAGCTCATCAGAGACTCTACTTCCTCAGGCGGCTGAGGCGAGCTGGTCTGGGAAGCTCAGCCCTCACCTCCTTCTACAGGTGTGCAGTGGAGGGCATCCTGTGCTCCAGCATCAATGTGTGGCATGGAGGCTGCACAGCTGCAGAAAGAAAAGTTTTGCAGAGAGTGGTGAAGGCTGCACAGAAGTCTTTTGGAGTCAGCCTCCCTACCATCAGACATCTACTCCTCCAGAGGCAGGAAGAGGGCCACCTGCATCATGACAGACCCCACTCACCCAGCACACACACTTTTTGCCCTGCTTCAGAGGTTAATTTGAGACAAATCCTGCCAGAACAAGATCCGGGAACACTCTCATTTTGACCCGTTCTGTTCCGGCAACTCTTTGTTCGGATCCGGCAGCTCCGCCCCTAAAAGTTCAAAGTCATTGCGCATTTTTATTTTGATTATTTATTTAAAAATACAACGAGAGGAGATGTTGTGGCAGACCCAGTCTGTGGATATTCCAGCCGCAGCACACACGGCGCACCAGCAGAAGAGGAGTCTCTACGGATCAGATAGTTACATTTACGCACAGAGGTGCTGAGCGAAGTCCTTGTCTCCTCCTCCTCTCCAAATATTGTCCCTCCTCAGCGAGGCCACGCACTGAAAAACATCCCCTCTCCTCCTCTCAGACTCCTGAAACAGAAACAATAATTTATTCAACAGAATAAGTAAATTCCTTGTGGACCGTGCACGTTACGCACAGAAACGTCTCCAATCTCTACCCAGCGCACGCACACATCAGCAGGTGTCTGAACTCCTGCTACATTTCAAACATAATAAATAAAAAAAAGCTTACTGTAAAAAACAAATTAAAAATACAAAGCTAGAAATGTTTGATGTGTTATTCGCATTATACGTCACGTTTCGTCAAAATAACAACAGCGATCAAAACGTTAAAAAGACAGACCCGTTTACGTTAATAAAACATGGATGAATGGATGGATAGATGGATGGATTGATTGTCCTTAGTTGGACAACAGAGTTGGACAACAGAGAATTGAAGCTTTCAGGGGCTTCAAACGGTGCCACAAGACTGGAGCAGGAGCGGAGAAGAGTTCAGCTCAGAACCGTGAAGTGAGGGGAGGGAGGAGGGGGGTTTAGGACACCTGACAGAATCGGTGCTGCTCTAATTCACACACAACCTGCTGTTCCTCTCCAAAATAGTAATTTTATTAAGTGTTTACAAATGTAGGTAAATGTTGATGCATAACAACCTGTTAAAATACACCAAAATGCAGAAAATGGCATCTCTGTTATTCAAAATTTTCTGTGAAAGGACCCACGGACCTCCACCCGTCTACCCGCTGTTCCGGCCTCAATCAGTTTACAAATTAAGCCCTGCCCGCTTCCCTCAGGCAGGAGGTTGAGGAGCATTAAGTGCAGATCCACTAAACTGAGGAAACTGAAACTCTTACACTCATAAATCCCTAACCAGGGTAACCACTGTAAGAAAAAAAAAATCACAATAATGCCACTTTAATTGATATGTGACTTATCTGTACTGCTGATTATTTCATGCTGCTGATTATCCATGCTGCTGTATTCATTCATACCCATGCTGCTGTTACGCCATTTTACATCATGTGTTTAGCATGTAGATTTTTTTGCGTACCGTTTGTTTAGTGCATATCTTAGATCCTTATAAAGTATAAAAAGAAACTATATATTTTGCTAATTTTGGGTGTAGCTGACACCCTGTGTACACAGTTTCGTTCCACCTCATGTACCATGTGATGGATCAACAATAAAGATACTTGAACTGCAGGGACTCCTGTCCAAACTGCTCTGCTGAACTTGTGTTTAAATCCTTTTTGATCAAGTCAATGCATTTTCAAACTTTGTTTTTTACGTCATTTTTAAGGTTGCAACTTTTGACTTCAAAAATTTTTTATCTTGCCATTTGTTAAATTCCTGTTTTTAATATTTTACATTGTTTTATAATGTAGTTTGTTTTGGATTCGTTTTTATATAATTTACTTACTTTTCATTTTATATGTTTTTATATGATTGTCTATTGTTGTCTGTTCTTTGATTAAAACAGGTCTAAATTTAAAAAAAGGATATATAAATAAATAAATTATAAAAAAAACAAAAAAAACCCACAAAATTATCCAAATGTGGGTTCGTCAGTGATGCTGGGTTGCGAGTTCGATCCCACGTTGTGCCAGGTGTAAAACAGTTGCCATATCTTAGAAGCAGCCGCAATAACAAAATCATCGCAAAATAAAAAAAAAAAAAAATCAAAAGAAAACTAATTAAAAAATTGAATAAATAAAACAAACATGAAATAAAACGACACCAAACAAAAACTCAAAACATTTATTTTTTATTTTTCATGTAAAATAAATTCAACACAACTTCTCAAGTTAATATAAAAAGCTTCACAACAAAGTATTTTTTTTAAACTAAATCTAATAAAAATAAAAATAAAATCACAACAGTACAAATAAAACCATCAACCAAAGGTAAAATTCAAGAAATTCTTTCAGAACATGCCAATTTATTCACAGTAAAACAGTACTTTACAGTAACCGGTTTACAAAGATATTTATTTCTAAAGACTGTAAAAGACTGTAGTGGTAGGAAAAAAAAGGCAGCATTAAACATTTAAAAGTGCTCAAGTTTTATAAAGAGTTTATGAACAAGACCAGTAGTTTGAGGAAATAAAAGCCTTCTTAGAAGGAAAAGACAAAAGTAAAAACAGGACAAAAAAACAACGCAGGTGACCTAAAATATATTTGTTCTCACACTGTTTAATAATATTCTGATAGTAAAAAGAATAGCGCTTAAAACTCAAGAGACTGATGTCAGCAAGTCTGTGGAGGTACATACATGTTAGTGTTTACACAAATAAAAATAATTTACTGATTCAAAATTTGCGTTCCCACTTGAGTGTTGGATCAGGATTGTTCTTTCCAGTAGTCTCGAGTCTTTTCTTCACACTTGTGTGGAGGAGTTTGGTGGTGAGTGTGCCAGACGCATCGCCTCGGGGTAATTTCTGTCGAAGCTGGTGTGGTAGAAGGGGCTCCGGGGGCTCCTGCTGCTGCTGTGCTGCTTGGATGTGTAACTGAAGCTTTTCTGGGCCTGGAGCATCTTCTGGATCAGGAAGCGTTTGTCATGACCCTCCTAAAGAACCAAAGGACACAGTGATGGTAGATTTCAGTCCAAAGAGCCTTCCGGCACAAACCACAGTCAAAATCAACAAGTTTCTTAAAATCAGCAAACACACCATGGCAAGCTGCTCCCGTAGTTGGCTAATGACCTTCTTGTGAGCTCCAGCAAGTGCGATCACATAAAACATGGCCAAGCTGTAGAAAACAAACATTTTAATGAGCAGCCAAATAAAGAATAAGACAAATGCTCATTAAAGCGTAAAATACCAGTGAACACTCACCAAGTAACAACAAAGAAGGAGACAGCAAACGTCTCAGATGAGAGTGCGTAGAGGAAAGTTTGGACTCGGTGTGGTAGCTGTGATACTGCAGCTGGCAGCGCCTCCCAGGAGGTGGTGTAGTTAACAAATGGCCCACAGGCCTTGGAACAGTGGATGCTGTGAAAAAAGGAAGAGCAAATCAGTACAAACATGGAAACACTGTTTTAGCTAGTTTTTTTTTTTTTTTGCACATTTTAGCTAGTGTTTCACATCTTGTAGCTAATGTTTTGCACCACTTATCTAGTGTTTTACAACTTTTAGCTAGCATTTAGTACATTGTAGCTAGTTTTTCCACACCTTTTAGCTAGTGTTTCATATTGTCTAGCTAATGTTTTGTACCTTTTAGCTAGTGTTTTACATCTTTTAGCTAGTGTTTTACACATTTTAGCTAGTGCTTGGCACATGATGGTGAAGATTCTCAGTCATCCAGGACATGATGAATGGGTGTCACATTAACATTACACTGGTGTTGGTGTTAAAATTTTATGTTAAAAATAACACCAATGTAGTGTAACTTACAAAACAATATGTGGTGTTTAAAAGGTAAATACCTTTTAAAGTGTTTGGCACATTTTAGCTAGCGTTTTGCTACTTTTAGCTAGTGTTTTGCACATTTTAGCTAGTGTTTTGCTACTTTTAGCTAGTGTTTTGCACATTTTAGCTAGTGTTTTGCAGTGTTTAGCTAGTGTTTTGCACATTTTAGCTAGTGTTTTGCATATTTTAGCTAGTGTTTTGCAG